CTGAGAGGTCAAAAGCAGGTATGAAGAGTAATGAGTCAGTTAAGAGTTAAACATCCAGTATTTTTTTTTGAAGAGCGGGTATGAGTAACTTACGAGATGGAGTCTCAAGCAGTTAAGCAACCTGCAGCTGGAAGTTTGACGCGCTGGTTGAATGGCCCCTTTGATTCTTCCATCTCGGCAAAGCACCGTGATTAACGGAGCGAGGTTTGTGACGTAAACGTTGCCGAAAACACGACTATGCACCGTATTTTACAGTATTGTTGCGTTCTGTGAGAAACCACTGCAAATATCGACGTTTTTGAGCTTACCGTGGCCAAAAGCACCACTTTTTACCATATTTTTCAGTGGTTTTATGCTTTGCGAAGGAGAAAACACTGTAAATATCGTTGTTTTTGAGTTTGCCGTGGCCCAAAACACTGCTATTTACAGTGTTTTTGAGCCTGCAGTCAAAAACACTGCAATTTGCGACGTTTTCAACAACGTGGCCGCCAAAAACGCTGCTATTTGCGAGGTTTTTTACGTTTTCGCGCAAAAACGTCAAGCCTAGACAATTTACAAAACACTGCAAAAACCAATGTTTCTGCCCAGCAAAAACGGCAAACATTGTCGCCCAAACAGCTCCGAAATCGCAAAATCTGGTGCCCCGGCCGCCCGACAAGAGACATGAAAAAAACAGAACGTCTTGAAACCGAAAATCGAAGACCAAATGTCAAAAAATCAATGTTGTTTAACGTTTATTTTGCCGATTCCGGGCGGGCGCACGCGGTAACTAGTCCATTCCGTGCTGTAAAACACAATATTTTTTTAATACCGCCGTCACGACCTATCAAAAACTCACGGTTTTGGCCTCGAAAAGGGTCCCCCCCCAGGTAATCCTAACCTTACAGTTGTTGATGCCATCCAGGTGATCACGCCCTGAGCACCTTCGGTGCGGGCGGACTTAAAGAGCGGTCCCGGCGAGCTGAAGAGACCTTGAAAAAGTATCAACAAATATAGGTATCCTTGGAGGCTGGTGGCAACAAGAGATTCCACATCACGGAGGATAGGTATTCGTCCATATTGATGAAGAGGTGGAGCCGATATTGCCTATGGGGCGGTTGGTGCGGGACCTAAACTTCAATTTGGAGTGGGAGGAGCAGGTTGATCCATCCTATGGAGGATTTAGTTAAAAACAAGGTGGTAGAAGATTGTCCATTGATTTCCTATGAGGCCTCGTTAGCATTGATCCAGGGGCTGGAGGAATCACAATCGAGATTGTCGTTGCGGTGCCGTGTATTTGCAGAGGAGGGAATTCACATCAATTGGTTGGTCAAGAATATCAATGATTAGCCGATTTTTCAGATATGTGCCGTATCCAACAATGCCAGACTTATCGAGATCGTTGACGTATCCATGGGAGCTACCAAGCCCAAATGAGAAGGAGCGAGCGAAGTGCTGGACAGAAAATATCCTAATATATCGTATGATCCTGCTCTATATGGTGGCATAGATATGGAAGAAATATGAAGATTGGCCAGGGGCCAAGATTACATGGGATCATCAAATGAAATTCCTTCTTGAATAACCTGCTAAACCTTGGGCAAGAACTAAAATGAGCTTCGTTCTGGAAGACAAAAGAATAGAACATAAAAAAGGCGATGTTAAGATTAGACCTCAAACCTTCAAAAAGGGCGATTTGACCATCAAACCCACGTCGTTGGCCATCAATTTCCCTGTCAATCCTCCGGAGAGGCACTATGTAATCCAAATAAATTTGAAGCCTCGAATGGATGTTACGGACCTTGCAAGGTGGGCTCCAGGCATGATAAAAGGGATTGCCAGTAGCTTACGGTTCCCATCCAAAAGAAGCGGGTGAAATTGAGAGCGTTATTTTGGTGAAAATGTTTGTTCCAAGGATATATTCAATTCAATTAAGATTATGGAGTGTGTCAACGAGTTGCAGCTCGACAACGACCATGTCGGGCACAAGGCATTTCAGAGCCTTGTGCGCTAGCCTTGGATATATGAATGGCCCCTTCCTGGAAGGAAGAGATATGGATGGGGACCCCAAGAAATATCTGTTGGTGGGGACCTATACGTAACTGGTCTACGAGCGGTATAATTGGGAGGAGGACAAAACCGGCGGAAGCGAATCCTGTGTGGCCAATCTTGGAGGAGAAAGAGGTTGAAGGGTATCCTATTCCTATCTACAAAAATATCGAATCGAATGATCCCAATATTTATCATTAGTGAATATTATTATCAGTTAATTATATTATTCTATCATATTAATTTATAATGCAATTATCTATTATCTACTACAAAT